GGCCTACAGACAGAGGCAGTTCAACTTCTTGGCAGTAGTAGTGTAAGGTTAAACGGAGGCCTGCAAATTCTGATATCGAAGTTTCTAAGGTCAAAGATCAAGGATGTTGGTGAGGCTCCTGAATGAAAAGACTTGTGGAAGGCAGCTTGGAGCTCGTACTTGTGAGAGACCGTGAGCTTCCTTCCTGAACATGTGATCTGGAAGGTCCTCGTCTTCCTTCTGCTCCTGGACAGGGTTTTGGCAGCATCTTCACAGCAACTTCATAGTTGCAAGGCATATGTAAATGCTTAAACTGTTAAATGCTGCTGTAGGAGAACTGTAGTTCTACTTGGCACCTGGGACTAGTTCTGCTCATACTCTGACATGGCTTACATCCTCACACAAAGCTAAAGCTCATTACAGGAACGAAACTCCTGGTTTTACAGCTGACTTCCCCTGAAGCATGTGATGAAAGAAAAAAGATGCACAGAGATAAGCTTTCTCTATGCCACTCTGTCTTGTGACTCAACTCCCAGGTCAGATCTTGGCTAGTTCTGCAGACTGTCATGCTATGCAACTTGCTCTTTTCTCTGGGTGCAAGGTGCGTGTTAGACTTGCCAGCAAGGCGAGATGGTATGTTGTTTTTTTTTAAAAAAATTAAAATATTCCACAATCATCACTTTACACCACTAAGTTCCAAAAGGAAACTTAAGCCAGGTGGCATGATTACCAGCACTAGGAGTTGTTGCACAAAGAAATTGCTGGAATAAAGTAGCAAGCAATGCTTGCCCGCACAGCCATCTAAAAGCTGAAAGTGCAGTATTTGTATGCAGACTGTTGTCCACCTAGCACCAGTTATAAGTGGTGTATTTTTCCCTCCTTAGGAAAGCAAATTAGTATTAGGTCTTAATGTTTTCAGAGTACCTATCAACTAGTGGTTCTGGTACAGAAGTAGCCCAGCTGCCTCCAAACTAAAGTATATGAGCAAAACCACAAAAAAAAAAAAAAAAAAACCTCACAGAGATGCAGTCTGTACCAACAGACAATGCTGTTGCCTCATGTTGTGTGTAATGAAACATATTGTTAGGTCCCTTGTTCTCCTTCGGTACCTATTGGGGCAGTTCAGGGTTAAGTGCTGCTTGGGAGAGGCTCCATATCCCTCGGCACAGTTTTGCTGAAACCTTCCTCTGTGGCCCATTCTCTTGCTTTCCCAATATTGCCTCTTCTTTCGCCTCCGCTGTCTCCTTTTCTATTGCAGCTGTGTTTTGCCAGTGCTAATGAAAATAATCAGCAGACTCCCTTTGTGGCCTGTATTTCTTGTCTCCCACTGTCTTCCATCTT